ATATTTTGTTAAGACTTACTCTCATGGGGATCCTCAGTCGATCTGTTCGATTCCTGATATTCATTTCATGCCATATCTTGGATTTATTGGAAACCAATCGGCTGCCCATTTTTTTACTGATAAATTTCCATTTGTGGACTCTTTCCTAACTTATTGTACGGAGTGTCAGTTTAGGGCTCTTACCCATGAAGGTGAACCTTTAGGCATTCTGGTCAACTCTGAAAGGATATCACCTTTCCACATTGGCTATCTTATATCTTTGAGGCAAGGGATTTTAACTTTAAAATGGGATTTAATTTCATTTCTGAACCGTACTCCCCTAACTGATACGGTCGTCAATTTGGGTTTGCTCAAGCGTGCCCTACACTGCTTAATGTATCTTGTCGGCAGCGCTCTGAGTGGTCTAAATTTTATTACAACTGGCGCCATATGTTACGCTACGGTACAAAAGTCTCATTGGAGTTACCAGGCACCCGATCTACTTCTCACGTAACCATGCCTTATGCCAATTGGTGGTTGGGAACTTTCTTTACCGTGCTTCAATATGTTACTCATACCCAACCGAAATCTTCACGCAAGAGAAAACTGGATATGTCAATTAAAGACCGAAAGACGAAGAATCCTTCTTACTCTAGAGCTAGGTCATCATCTTCACCTATTGCTCTAGAAGCATCATCACCTCAAAGAATGGATAATAGTCGACCACTTATTGCTCCTTCTCGGTCAAGTTACTCGGTTTCAGATCTCCTTCATCTTTTCGAAGATATGTGTAATTCTCAATTTAAAATGAGATTTAGCTTTGAGCAAGTAGATTCTGGCCCTCAATTTGCCTGTCTCGCAAAGCTTTTTCCAGAGACTATGTCTATCAGTGATTGCACAGGAACTTCCCAACCCACCGTAGCGACAAAAACCCCAATGGATCAATTTCGCACATACTTGTACTCTTTTCTTGAAGATAAAGATGAGAATATGATTTAAGAACTCTTTAAGGGAGATGGGTATGAATTAATTGCCTTGGGTCGTATTCGCATTAAGAGTGTTGAAGTTCCTTCTCCTACCAAATCTTTTGATTGTTCTCTCAATGGAAGTAGCGAGAGTGAAGATGAGTTTTATGACTACATCCCTCTTTTAGATGGCACACCGACTAAGATGAGTAAATTGCCCCCAGCAAATGTAGGTTTTTCTTCTCCTTCTTCAAACAAGCCATCCGAGCTATTAGAGAAAGGTATAATTTTTTTTTTTTAACACCTCTCATTTTCTTAGGCACTGGGCCTTAGACTTCCACAGCTGCCTCGCATATGCCATTGGCTACCTTTAAGGGTATTCTTATTCATTCCGTGTATCTCATTTTATTTCATCATGTATACATACTCAAGGAACTCTTTTCTCTTTAGATCATGCCACATTTCAAAATTCGTGGTCCACTTGTGGGAATCACAACTTGTCTCCTCCTCCACTTAAGTCTCTTTAAGCTGTACACCCAGGTATACTTCATTCATATATATATATATATTGTTTTTACCTTCTATGTTTTCATTGAGTATCTTTTTCTATTTTCACAGAAAGTATTATTGACACATTAGAAGAGACAGACGAAATTACTTCTGATACCTCGGAAGAGGCCCAAATTCTTGCAGACTTACTTGAAGCAAATGGCGTTAACAAATTATTTGACAAACTTGAAGCACCCTTTGCTCCATCTAGTCTTCTTTTGGGAACTTCCTCTAATGAAGTAGCCACCCATATTCAAAAAGATCTTATTATTTCTCTCCAATCAATGATGGATGTTAATGGCATGATTGCTCTAGCAAACAACGTTTTCACGATTTTGAAGAGTTTGGGTGTAGACTTCACCTCCTTTTACGAGAAGGTGAAGATATTTCTTGCGTGCTTTGCTTTGAAAACCCAACTTGTAGATTCTTCAAACTTGTCTACTGCAGAATTTGAGGCGCAATACTATGAGAAGAAGCTTCATTTCAACAAAGTTTCTGGCGAACATGAACAGTTGTCTGCTTCAATTATCAAGTCGGATGAGCATATTGCGGGTCTTAATCAAAGGATTACTCAAACCAAAGAGTTACTCAAACAACTTGAAGAGGAATTGTCATCCACCCAAGCGGAACATGCATCCTTTATGTGTGATTTTGCATAAGCTTCCGAGAGTGTTTCTAAATCAGAAAAAGAGGTGCAAACTGCTTTGAATGTTTTGAGCCAACACAAGAAAAAGAATGGACAACACAGTGTTGTGGAACGTGCTTTTGAAAGGGCCAAGGGTTCTCTTAATGAATGAATGCACTTTTATTTTGTTATTCATCCGAACATAATGAATTTATGAAATTTCGCTCAGTGATAGTTTTATTTATTATATGAAATTTCTCAATACAATACATCGATTTGTCTTATTTTAGCCGTTCACAGTTTATACTCTTGTTGGCCAGGAGTATCCAATGTTTTACCACCTTAGATTTCGGTGGGATATTTTAGCAGTTTAACCACATACAATACCGTTGTTGGGATTCAACTTTTGTTTGGCCGTACACAGTTTATACTCTTACGGGCCAGGAGTATCTAATGTTTTACCACCTTAGATTTCGGTAGGATATTTTAGCAGTTTAACCACATACAATACCGTTGGTGGTTTTTGACTTTTGTTTGGCCATACACAGTTTATACTCTTGCGGGCCAAGAGTATCCAATGTTTTACCACCTTAGATTTCGGTGGGATATTTTAGCAGTTTAACCACATACAATACCGTTGGTGGTTTTTGACTTTGTGTTTGGCCGTACACAATTTATACTCTTGCGGGCTAGGAGTATCCAATGTTTTACCACCTTAGATTTCGGTGGGATATTTTAGCAGTTTAACCACATACAATACCGTTGGTGGTTTTCGACTTTTGTTTGGCCCTCTTGCGGGCCAGGAGTATCCAATGTTTTACCACCTTAGATTTCGGTGGGATATTTTAGCAGCTTAACCACATACAATACCGTTGGTGGTTTTTTGACTTTTTTTTTTGCCCTAACTTTTGCCTAGGCTGCCCTTTCGGGTTTTCAACCTAGCAGACTTTCTTAAGGGTAATATCTCTTCAAGAACCTTGCATTGGTTGGGGGAATGATTCTATCACCATCCATCGTTATCAACAAATAGACCCATTAGAATAAACCTTCTCAATCACATAAGGTCCTTCCCATTTGGGCTCAAGCTTTCCTTTGGTTCTTTGTGAGACTACTATGGGTGTTCTAACCATTAGTACCAAATCTCCCTTTTTAAAGGAACGAAGCCTCACTCTTTTATTGAATGCATTTGCCATCCTTTGTTGGTAGATCTCCAAGTTCTATACCTCCTCTTCCAAATCATCATGGAGAAATCCATTCTTCACGTCTAACTGCTGTAAAGGCTATCCCAAATTAGCTGCATATGAGAGAATAGCTCGAATGGAATTCATCTTTGCCACAAGAGCAAAGGTATCTTGGAAATCAATTCCATATGTTTAAGTAAACCCTTTGGCCACTAATCGTGCTTTGTATCGTTCAATTGTTCCATCTGCTTTCTGCTTGATGGTGAAAGCCCACTTACACCCTACAGGCCATTTTCCACTAGGAAAATGAACCAACTCCCAAGTGTTATTCTTGCTTGAAGCTTGCATCTCTTCTACCATAGCTACTTTCCACTTAGGATCATTGATAGCTTTGTTCCAATCTTGGGAAATACATGAAGACAAAAATGAAACCAAAGCATGATATATAGAAGACAATGATTCATATGACACAAATTTAGAAATGAGGTGTTGAGTACAAGCCCTAACCCCCTTTCTAAGAGCAAAAGGAAGACTTGAATCATTGACAACAGGACTCTTAACTATAGGTAAAGGAATAGACTGAGATGTATTATCTGGAACTGGCATGATGGATGATGATGGGTCTGGTGGCACAAGGGAAGCTTGCTCTTTCGGACGCCGAGAATAAGTCTTAAGATCAACCTTGTCCAAATGACCACCAATGTCAGGCTCCACATCAAGAGAACTATTAGGCTTCCCCTCACCACAAATAACAGTCTACTGACTAGGAAGGAAAAAAGACAACTCGTGCTGACAGGCCATCTCCTCATTCGCAATCTTATCCATACCATTACTACTCTCCCTCTGAGGAGATGGTGGGGGAGAAGGAAAGAAGGACGTAGATTCCCGAAAAGTGACATCCATACTAATAAACACTTTGCGAGTGTGAGGATCATAGCATTTAACCCTTCTGAGTAGCAGAATAACCAATAAAGACACAACGCACAGCCTTAGGATCGAGTTTCCCATGAGTACGAGATTGCAAATGAACAAAACAGACACACCCAAACAACTGAAGAGGAAGAGAAGATGTGGGATATGCTATAGGAAGCAATTGAAAAGGAATCTGGAATTGGAGGACACTAGAAGGCATAAGGTTGATAAGGTAAGCAGCGGTAAGAATAGCATCACCCCAAGATGACTTAGGGACATTCATGGTAAACAAGAGAGAGCGAGCAACTTCAAGATGGCCATGCTTGCGTTCGGTAACCCCATTCTGCTGAGAAGTACCAACACAACTAGTCTGATAAAGGATGCCATGCTCCTCTAGGTTTGCTCGAAAAACTCCATCAACATACTCAGTCCCATTATCACTACGAAGAATTTTGATTTGAGCATTAAAAAGATTGGTCACCATTTTATGAAAAGTTTGGAAACAAGAAAAAAACTTCACTCTTAGTTCGAAGCGAGTAAATCTAAGTCACGGAAATAACAATCAATAAATATAACAAACCATTGATACCAAAAGTAGAAACCACAGGGAAAAGGCTCCACACATCGATATGAATAAGCATAAAAAGGAAAGTACTTTATTATTTGAAGGGTAACAAGTACGTTTATGCTTTGCAAGTTCACAAGCATCACAACCAAAAATACTCCTAGGACAATCATGAACTAAAGAAGGAAAAAGTTTCTCTAAAAACTAAAGGAATGATGACCCAAATGGCGATGCCACTGATGAAGGAGATAAAGAGGAGAGCAGTAGTGCACTTGAGAGCCTGAGATGGGACGACATCCAGAAAATACAGCCCATCTTGTGCTCTACCATTGCCAATTGTTTTCCCCGTAGCTAGGTCCTGAAAGACACAATGAGTAGGAAAAAATGACATTGAGCAATTTAGAGAAGTACTAAGGCCTTGTATGGGAAATAATTGTTTTAGCCTAAAAGTCAAAAAGTTACAAAAAAAACCAAAAAGCCTATAACCTGTTGGAATTAGGAAATAGTGATATTATAATTATGGTAGTGTTGGAATTAGGAAAGAGTAATAGAGTGATATTGTAATTATGGCAGTGTATATAAAATCTGTGATTGTGTCAATAAAAGATTTAATACATTTTTTTATCTTCGTTTCCTATTTTGTTTGTTTCCTATTTTGTAATATTGTTTCATTATAAATACAAGGCTCTACCTCATTCATAGATAAGCCAAATAATTCTTTTCATTCTTTTTGGTATCAGAGCCAAAACACAAAAACCCTAGACCATCCCCTCCTCCCTATTGGCCTATGTTCTTCACTGCCCAGTAGTTTCTTCATCTTATTTCTTCTTCCTCCAGCAACCAATAGACCTCTTCTCCTCTCTAGACCACCCGACAGCCTAAGCCACCACTCCTAGACCACCCGAAACCACTTACCCACCCTGCTATACCTCTCGGGAGGACTGTATTACACCTGTCGAGGGCCTTGCTGCTGCCAACTAGGTCTCATCCTGGCCTAGAGCACTTCGACTAGGTCTTCCCCTAGCCTAGATTGGCTCGATACCCTCTTTAGGGTGATTTGAATCCTTTTTCTCCCTTTTATAGAGTGTAGTGGTGATGCTTTAAGCACTTTAGCCGTTAAGTTTTTTCTGGCTTTTCTGGTTGTTTACTCAGACTGTGTTGATGTGTTGCTATATTGCTGTCTATTTCAGCCCCCATTATCTCCCCATGGATAACTTATCTTCTACCACTCCTACTGAGGTATCTACTGCGGTCTCCACCAAATCTGTGCCTGTTCCAAGTATTGATTTTTCTCTTTTCCATTACTCCTATTCATCGTATTACAAGTGTGGTGTTGATTGGGAAAAATTTTGCTGCTTGGAGCTGTTCCCTTAAACTCTACCTTATGGGAAAGGGAAATGCCCATTAGCTTTTATCGACTACTACCCCGCCAGCTGCGACAAACCCTATACGTGCTCAGTGGGATATCGATAACTGCACTATATTGGGAAGGATGTTCAATTTCATGGAAGATCAAATTTATCATATGTTCCTTTATTGCGATACAGTTCCGAGTTTGTGGCAAACATTGTCACAGATGTACGCTCATGCACACAATGATGCCCGTATCTTAAAGCTTTACCAAGATATAGCCCAGGCCTCTCAGTCCTCTCTTGGCCTTTCTGTAGCTGAATTCTTTGGCTATCTTCAGGCTTGTTGGGAGGAACTTGCTCAATATGAGCTTTTGACTAACCTTCCACCAGAAGCCGCCTTCCTTATGTCCAAGAGGCTTGCTCGACAGCACACTTATCAGTTTCTCATGGGTTTAAACTCTGAATTTGAATCTCTTCGAATTCAGAATCACAACACATCACCCATGCCATCTCTTTATGAGGCTTATGCCACTATTGACAGTGATGAGCGTCACCGGTGATTGGTTAAACCTAGTGTTCCTTCAGTATCTCCAGTTTTAGCAGATCAGATGGCTCTTGCTGTAGGTTCTGGTTCTCGAATTTGTACCGGTTCTGTTACTTGTCATCATTGTGGTGATCCTGGACATGTCAAAGCTCATTGTTTCAAACTTCATCCTAAGTTAAGGCAACGCCCTTCCCGACCTCGTGGTGCTGCTACACGTAGTTTTGGCTCTGCTCGCACGGCTACTTTGGTGGAAGTTACTCCTGCTTCTGAGCCTCCTAATGTTCCTAATCTACAGCAGTCTTGGTTAGCTTCAGGCCCAACTTGGGTCTCTTACCACCGGTTCTCTTGGTCCATCATCCTCTACCGCCACCTTTGCTACAGGTATTTCTACTGCTTTCCATGTTCAGTTTGCTAATCCTTCCTAGATTCTGGATTCTGGGGCTAATGATCATATGACTGGTGACTTTTCTTTTCTTTCCTCTCCTGCACCCACCATTGTTGCCCAATCTGTGTGTCTTGCTTATGGTTCTTGCTTTTCTGTCCAACATAAGGGTGTTGTGTCTTTATCCCCTGATATCACTTTATTTTCTGTGTTGCATGTTCTCAAGTTTGCTTATAATCTCTTATCCGTTAGTCATCTTGCCAAAACCTTTAATTGCACTGTCATCTTCTTACCTTCTTCGTGTCTTCTATAGGACCTGAGTTCGAAGAGGATTTTTGGTAGGGGATATGAGCGCGATGGGCTATACTACTTTGAGGATCCACCGGACCAACCTTCTTTGCCTTTAGCTAGTTTTCAGACGTCTGTTTTGCCAGCTTCTATATCTTGTGTTTTTTTTATTCAAACTTTGGAGTTATGGCACGCTTGTATGGGTCATGTTAACTTTCAATATTTATGTTAACTTTTTTCGCTATTAAATGAAGCTTGCAAGGATTCTATATTCCATTGTGTTACTTGTGAGTTGTCTAAACATATCCGTACTAATTATATACCACATATGACACGTGCCCCTAGTGCTTTTGACCTTATTCATTCTAATGTTTAGGGTCCCTCTCCTATTCTTGCTTTTTCTGGTCATCGTTATAATGTGACTTTTATTGATGATCACACTAGGTGCACTTCGGTCTATTTACTTCGCCGCAAGTCTGATGTGTTTCCCATCTTTGTTTAGTTTTTGCAAATGGTTAAAACACAATTTCGCACCATTGTTAGGAACATTCGCTCTGATAATGGTGGGGAATACATCTCCAATGAGTTTCATTCTCACCTTAATTGAATGGGTATTCTTCAACAACTTACATGTCCTCAGACCCCTGAACAAAATGGTGTGGCTAAATGTAAAAACCGTCATATTATGTATGTCGTGCATTGTCTTCTTCGTGGTATGAGTGTGCCCAAGTCTTATTGGCACATGGTTGTTCTTACTGCTGTCTATCTCATTAATAGGACTCCTAGTCGTGTGTTTTATGGCCTTACTCCATTCCATATTCTTATGCCTAATACTACCCTTTTTCCTCTTTTGCCTCGTGTTTTTGGGTGTACATGTTTTGTTCAAGACCGGTGTCCCACTCGCACTAAGTTAGATGACAAGTCTATTCGTTGTGTCTTTTTTGGGGTATTCTTCTATGTCTAAGGGGTATAAATATTTTGATCCTGTTGTCATTTTCACCATACTCTGGATGTTACTTTTTGTGAGGATCTTCCTTTTTTTAGTCCTAACCCCTTGTTACAGGTTTCCCCTTCAACTACTTAAAGTGTTCGCCCGGTCCCCAATTTGGATACGGTTGCGGATGAGGTTACCCTCTTCCCACCCTTCACCTTCGCCTCCTTCCCCCCTCCCTTGTAAGTATACTCTCGCCGCCCTCATGCTCAGCCCCCTCTTGCTTTCTCTCTGGATCTTGGGTTAGGTACTTCTTCCCCTTTACATGCCTCTCATTCCCTTCCTCGCCGTAATCCTCCTCAGGATTGGCATCCCCTCAATCGTTGGGGTTATCTATGTAGTACTAGTCATCCCATTTCCCAGTATCTCTTATATGACAGGGTTTTCGACTCATATCATTCTTTCCTTGGCAAGCTTGAGTCCAAGTCTATTCCACGATTTGTGTCAAAGGCCCTTCAGAATCCAAAATGGGTGGCGGTGGCAGCTTTAGAACAGAATTATACTTGGGATTTGGTTTCTTTACCTTCTGGCTAGAGTACCGTGGGTTGCAAATGGGTCTTTGCTATTAAGTACCTACGTGATGGCTCCGTTGACCGTTATAAGGCCGGCTTAGTGGGCTTCACTCAAGTTCCTAGCAAGGATTTTGGTGCTAAGTTGCGGGGGAGTATTCAGGAAAAGTATGTCGACTGCGCAAGTCTTTGTATGACTTAAAGTAGTCTCCACGAGCTTGGTTTGGTTGTTTCAGCTCAGTCATCATCTCCATGGGCTTTGTTCAGTGCCATTCAGACCATACTTGCTTCATCCGTCATAATTTTGCAGGTCAGTGTATAGTCTTGTTGGTGTATGTGGATGATATCATTCTCATTGGTGATGACTCTATAGGTATTGGTCAAGTTAAACGAGATTTGGGACACACCATTGATATTAAGGATTTAGGGAATCTCAAGTAGTTTCTAGGAATTGAGGTGGCTCGCTCACAGTAGGGGATTTCCTTATCTCAAAGGAAGTACACTCCTGACTTATTTAAGGATACCAGTATGTTGGGTTGTAAACCTGCTTCTACTCCTATGGATCCCAATGTCAAGCTCATATCATAGTCCGGCAAATTACTAGAGGATCCAGGTATGTATCAGCGTCTTGTTAGGCGTCTCATCTATCTGACCAATACTAGACCTGACTTGACATTTGCGGTTAGTGTGGTTAGCCAATTCATGCATGCACCTCGTACAGAAGATCTTGATGCGATTCATCATATCTTGAGATATTTGAAGACCTCTCCAGGCTTGGGATTGTTGTTCACAGCTGATCCTTAATCTGGACTCTTTTGTTTTACTGATGCTGACTATGTAGGATGTAGAACGGATAGACGTTCTACTTCTGGCTTCTGTACTTTCTATGGTGATCATCTTATATCATGGAAAAGTAAGAAGCAAGCAGTTATTTCTAGGTCTTCTGCAGAAGCTGAGTATAGGGCTATGGCACAAGGCACTTGTGAGATTCTATGGTTGCATTCTATTTTGGTAGAGTTAGGATTTGAGGAGACTGCCCTTGCTTCTTTATTTTGTGACAACAAGTCTGCTATTATGTTGTCTTCTGATTCTGTCCTACATGAACATACTAAGCATATAGAGGTTGATATACATTTTATTCGAGAGAAGGTTCAGATTGGTATTGTGAGACCATTCTTTGTCTCTTCTTCTCAGTAGTTAGTAGATATGTTCACCAAGTCTATTGGCCTAATATTACTCCAGTCATCTATCGGCAAGCTGCGTTTATTGAATTTCTTCACACTAGCTTAAGAGGGAGTGCTGGAATTAAGAAATAGTGATATTATAATTATGGTAGTGTTGGAATTAAGAAAGAGTGATATTGTAATTATGGTAGTGTGTATAAAATCTGTGATTGTGTGAATCACAAATTTAATACATTTTTTTATCTTCATTTCCTATTTTGTTTGTTTCCTACTTTGTAATATTGTTTCATTATAAATACAAGGCTCTACCTCGTTCATAGGTAAGCCAAATAATTCTTTTCATTCTTTTTAACCTACGTCAAAAAGTCAAAGATTCCCTTTTCTCTTTACTTTTTGTACATCTTTTTCGTAAAAAATCAAAAAGTCATTCCAAACATACAAGTTTTTTTTACCTCATATTTTAGCCAAAAAGTTACTAAACTAGCTTGTTTCCAAACGAGGCCTAAGACTACTAACAGAAAGCAAGCTAGTGGAAAAAGTAGGAACATGAAGCACAAACGAAAGAGAAAGCAAAGATGAACAATAAACCGAACCCTTGCTAGAGACAAAGGATAAAGTGCCATCAGCCACTTGAACCTTGTCTCGGTCGTAACAAGGAGAATAAGAATAGAAAAGACTAGAGGCACCTGTTGTGTGGTTGGTGGCATCTGAATCGATAATCCAAGAAGGTGATAAGAAGGTACTAAGAGCACTAGTAGGAATACCTGTGTTGGCAAAATTGGAAGAAGTGGAAGTGGAAGAAGCTGTGGTAGAAAGAGAGTCAAGTCGAGCCATCAAAACGCCTAAGAGTGTGTAACTCATCCTGGGAAAGAGAGTGCTAGGCTCAGAAGAACTCACAGCAATCTCAGACACATGTGCTTGGGGACGAGTTGTACTACCACAACCTTGACCCCGAGTAGGGCGACCATTCAGTTTCCAACAATGCTCTCAATCATGCCTGTCTTTTCCACAATAATCACACTTCAAGCGATCTCGATCAACCAGTGTACCCTGACTCCCAAACTGAACTAGACTAGGCCGAGGAGCTCGAGTAGGAGGAGCAACAACCAAAGCAGAATGATCCTGAATAGTGGAATGAACCATAGCACTACATCAACTCTCCTCTTACTGGACTAGGGCATAAGCCTCGCGTAGGGTGGGAAAAGGTGAATGACCCAACACTTGGACGCGAATTTGATCATACACCAAGTTCAAGCCAGCAAGAAAGTCATACACGCACTCCTTCTCCACGGTTTGTTGAAATAAAGTGGCATCCTGAGAACAAACAGCCTAGAAGCTTTGGTAATAGTCTAGTTCTTGCCACAAACTACTCAATTCAGCATAGTATACTACAAGTGATCTATCTTTTTGATCTAAGCTCTGAAGCTTCTTCCTCAACTCATATGCCTATGCATCATTACCCTGGTGGGAGTACATTTGGGCTGCAGCTATCTAAATCTTATGAGCAGTATCTAATAAGAGAAAACTCCGACTAATGGTAGGTTGCATAGAGTTGATTAGCCAAGTCATAACAGGAGCATTTTCAGAAATCCATTGAGTATGGAGCGAGTCATCACTATCCGATAGGAAAGAGAATAGTAATATAGCCAGTCAAATGGCAAG